GTGGAGTGGATATAGTTGGCCTTGCAGGGCCGTTTTCCCTTGCCTTGCTGTGAAGTACAGTAACTTTCCACCTAGAGTTGGCAACACTGCAGACAGCCGTAGCTCCGGCCACCGCTTTTTCAGACGCCGCACTGGAAGGATCTGCCAATCGACGTCAGGGCCGTTTCCTCCCTGCCTCTTTTTTCGGGCGCTTACGTAAGCTGGTTCTTTTGAAAGAAGGCGTTCTGTGTAAAACTTCGGCAGGCCTCTTTCTACGAAAGGGCCCGGTCCGTAGCGCTGGGTGTGGATTACACGTTGTGAACGCTGTGGGCGTCTTCGGTGGTCGTTAGCTGAGCGGAGAGTATTTGGTGGTGGAAAGTGCCGTCCAGTCGCAGCTGACTTACACCTGACGGGCGGGGTGTCAAACTTAAGGCCCACGGGCTGGAACCAGCCCATTGAGGGCTCTTACACTGCCCACAAACAGCTAGTGCAAGGGAGGGAACAGGAGACTGCGGGGAGGGGGGGGACCACTCCGACTGTGGCTTCAGCACGGCGGAACAACCTCGTCAAGCATTGTGGGAGCATTTTCCCCGCTGGCTCTCCAGTCTGCCCATGTGGGTTTTCCTTTCCACCCTTCTCCCAGCCCATGGGGCCTTGCAGTGAGGATATACCAACTCCGAGCCAGGGGTCATTTCCTGCAGGAGCGCACAGGAGCGGAGCTCCGGCAGTAAAGAGCCCAGGGGGCGGGCACATGCAACAAGCCCCGCCCCCTGCTCCCAGCAGCCCTCAGTCAGAGCAAGAAGCAGCCAGGTAAGTTGCAGAGCCCCCCCCCCGGCCCCACGGTCCAGAACAGTCCAGTGGCACCTTTAAGACCAAGCTTTATTCAGGTACAAACTCTCCCTCCTTTCCAAAGACAGATCTGCACATCCCCCCCAATAACCAGCAATCCAAAACAGTCCAGTGGAGCCTGAGTGGTGGGTGTTGCCTTCTGACACACTTCGGGTGATGTCAGGGGGTGTGGCATATGGTGGCCTATGCAAATAGGTTATGCTAATGAGCTCCTGCACCTCTTTTTCTACGAAATGACCCCTGCTTGGAGCTTTCCAGCGGCTGTCCCTTATAGAGTTCACATCTCCAGTACCTGGCATTACATTTTATGGCACACATGGCCTGGCCCAACAAAGTAACATTTATGTCAGGTCTGGCCCTTGTGACAAATGATTTTGACACGTCTGCTGAAGGGGTTTCAATGCAAGGGATGCTCCGAGGCTCTGCGTAGCAATCCCTGGACTCCCTTGGTGGGGTCTCCCCTCCAAGTCCTAACCAGGGCTGACCCGACTTAGTTTCTGATGAGATCAGGGTAACATTTGATCTAGGTAAGTCCCACTGTATTGTTGGAATCAGGGCTCTTTTTGTAGCAAGTACTCATTTGCATATCAGGCGACACACCCCCTAATCCTCCAAGAGTTTACAGTAGCTCCTGTAAGAAGAGCTCTGTAAGATCTTGGAGGATTGGCTACATTGGGGGTGTGTGGCCCAATATGCAAAGGAGTTCCTGCTACAAACAGAGCCCTGGTAGGAATCAACTGGGAACAACGTCGGTCTGAAGCAACATAACAAAGTTTGAGTCCAGTGGCATCAGTTTGGTGTAGCGGTTAAGAGCGGTGGACTCTAATCTGGAGAGCCGGGTGTGATTCCCCACTCCTCCACATGAAGCCAGCTGGGTGACCTTGGGTCAGTCACAAGTTCTCTCAGCGCTGTCTCAGCCCCACCTACCTCACAGGTTTGTTTGTTGTGGGGAGAGGAAGGGAAGGGGATTGTAAGCCACTCCGAGAGACTCCGAGGGCGGGGTATAAAAAAACAACTCATCTTCTTTAAGACTAACAAAGTTTTATTCTGGGTATAAGCTTTCATGTGCATGCACAAACACACGCACACTTCTACAGATATGCATGACAGCTTATACCCAGAATGAAACTTTGGTCCCGGTCACACGGTGAATTTGCCGTGCGAAAGGCACGAATGTCGGGCGGATTTTCGGGGTGACCTCTGTCTGGGGCTCAGTTGTAATTTCAGGAGCTCTCCAGGCAACCCAGGACCTTAATTGGGATGCAGTGTGTGTGGGGGGGAAGCACCCCAAAGTGTTCAGACAATTAAAAATTCTGACTCTATTAAAAATAGATGGATGATGGATAGATAGATACAGCAGTGCTTCAGCGGGGAACCGTGTTGGTCTGCGGTAGAAGACAAGATTCGAATCCGGGAGCACCTTAGGGACCGACAAAAATTTTGGGGGTAGGAGCTTTCGAAAGTCACAATTCCCTTCGTCGGTATGAAGGCGTAGGGTCAGCAGCTCTCTGTAGGGAAATACCTGGGG